TTAGCGCGCCTTTCCGCAGACGTCCATGAGCTCCATGTCACGGCCATGGTGTCCGCCGCCCCGCCTCCCTCCGGTCGATTTCTTGGCATGGACGTGTTCGTTCGCTCCCCTCATTCGCCGGTGCTTTTTGGTTCTTAGAACCGTGGGTAATGAGAGCCCCTCTTTACTGCCAAGCCTTTGTGAGCTTCACGCCGGCCATGGCTTGCCTCGCCGGGAGTCCTTTATTCGGCCGTACTGAAACCCCCGAGCTAATCCGAACTGGCCCATCGCGCGATCAACTACCGAAATAGAAGATACCCTTCGGGGTAAATTTGCTAAAGAGTCCTGGATTTTTCTAAGTCCTAACCCGCCGTCCTTAGCGTGATTTCCCGAATCGCAATCCCGTTTAGAAAGCGTAAACTTCACTTTGTTTAAGTCAAAAGTACGCTTTCAGATTTCTGTAAATGCCATTTAACTGTTTTCGCTTATAGAATTGTCGTTTTAACTCCGAATTGATCCATTCAAATCGCGTTAGCTTCGTAATTTCATAAGCTACATGTTGGAGCTACTGTTAGTCAAGTTTGGAACTTTTTAATTTCATGATTAGAATTAATTAAATATAGGGCTACAGAAAAACCCGTTTTAATCATAACTTTCGCATTTTAGCTCCGTTTCTCGTGAACTTCGCGTTGACGTGATCGTAGAGAAACGTAGATTAGTTTTACAAACATTTTATTTTGATTTCAATACTGTTGGTATACTGTTCTAATGATAGGAATGTTTGCTTTGCATGAATGCTTTTGGAATGTTGTATGTTGCCATGTTGGTCGCGTTCAGACGGTGAGGAAAACGTTGGAGACCAAGAACTCTTCGATGACCAGCAGGACCAGCACGAATTTGTGAACCAAGGCAAGTATAACATGGGCCTTCCTTGATGTCCTATTTCACTTTAAGCAATTACTCATTTGCATGTGTCTAATTTTGATACCCGTAAGGACATCCTAGTGATTGTTATCCTGTTCCTTGTCTCCTATGGGTTAAATGCATATGGGTAGATTGCTAGTGCTCTAACTGAACTTGATATACATGTTGATGAATGATACTATGGAACAAAGTGAGTAACATGAATTATAACAACTGTTCCATAGGGCGAAAGTGCAAATGATCTTTGTTCATGTTGCTCCCGGCCCTCCATAAGGACTTATCTGTCGGCAAAAAAGTGGGATGACAAAAGTAAACTGGGAGAGTCATATGGCTCGACTTTAGCTCAATAATAGGACCTTTCCTAGCTGGTTAGAGGTTACCTTTTTGGCGCAAATGGGGCTTGCCACTTTGGGTATAGGGGCTGCCTCTGTTCCTATGAGTATAGCCGCGATGGATTTGTGCCATAGAAAGGGGGTCCCTACATCTGCTCTGCCAAGGAAACCTAGCGGCCCTAACTTGTTAGGGAAACCTATGAAATGGCTTCATAGTGTACCCGCCCGCTCACCTTGGTAGTGACATGGGAGTAATTAACCCGGGCATATGGGGATCACGACTCATGGTGAATGTGCACCACCTCTGCAGAGAGGGTAACAAAAAGCTATTATAATACCGTGCTCACTGATTACGAAAGCGGCCCGGAAAACTCACTGAATAACTGGATACTTGATGATGATCTTATAAAGTTGTTTAGTGATGATATATGGTACATATGACTCGATATATGTTCTTATGGGAATTAAATGGGAGCTTAAGCATAACTTGATAATACTTGAGAATAAAAGCTTGACCTATTAAAAATGCTAACTGCAGCTTAACGTAGTCTAACCTTTTGAGCTTCATAACCCCATGTTAGCTTGCTAAGTACGGAATGTACCTACACTTGTTTATTTTCTTTACTTGGATAAAAATCCGGATGGGTAATGAGATAACAATGGGTATGAGGATTTCCGGAGGATTATTAGGCTTGTGGTCAACCAGATTGACCTTCCCCGTGAAGACGGCCACGAGAGTTTTATCATCTTTTTATTATTCCGCTGTGATGTATAAGACTAAGTTTTATTATAACTCTGATGTATGAGACACCGTGATGATACTTTATGTAATTTGTCAGCTTGTGTGTGTGATTGATTCCTGGGCACACACGAGTTTTGTGCATTCAATTTTATCCTTAAAATTGGGTGTGACAAAGATTTGAGAAAGAGTTTGATATGAAGTTTCATGGTCTCAATATGGATCATGTCAGCTTTATATATGATCTTTATAAAGTTTTAAATGTTGAAATAAAGAATCTTGTTAGAGAGATTTTACGCAAAAGAACTTTGAGTCTTGCTAATGCCTTACCTTGAATCCCCGAGCCTGTATTCCTGAGTCTTCTCAGTTTTTACTTCGGTTAAGTCTTGTTGAATATTTTTGTACTCAGGGTTCTTTAACTCTTGTTGCAGGTGAGCCTCATGAGCAGGTCTGTTTTGGACCGTGCTGCATGACGGTTGTTCAAATTGAAGATGACAAGTAAATGTGTGACCCTTGAACATGTTACTTTAATTATGTGTTTTGTATTATGTTACTAAAGCTACTCCACTACTATGGTTTGTAATAATAATCGTACTTAGTTTGTAAGGTTTGAAACAACTGTTTTGTAAACTAAGTTATTGTAAGACTTCCGCTATTTCACTCTGATGTAAATTAATGAATAAACTGTTGTAATACTGCAATGACTCTGTAATGGATTATGCTCGGAAAAATCGTGGATGATTCGGGTTTTCTGAGGATACCCGACAGGCTTCTTAAGTTACCGGGAACATATGTATAGTCGTCAGAGGTCATTGGACAGTGACAGGTGCATGTTGACCCTATAATTTAGGAGGTTCTGCCACACCTGTACAACTTGATTGGGCCATGCTCACTTGGGCTTGTACTAACTTGTTTGTCGTGGGCCGCCTAACTAATCGTTGTCTTAAAATACCCGGAGTATCATAACCCGACAGTCTCCAACCTGATGGTTAATGTTTTTTGACCAACTTATATAAATAATTCAAAATCAAATAGGTCTAAATTGTTAAATTTTATTTGCTTCCTTTATTTTTTGTAATAAAGTAATAATACTATAGTTGATTATACTAATATCAACTTTATGACTATGGAAGAAAAAACAATTGGATACCCTATGTGGAAATTCTATGAGAGCATGTTTAAAGAAAATCCATATGCAGAGCTGTTTTACCATACGGGTCTCTAAAATAAGTTTGGCTTGGCTGAAAAAGTTGCTCGTGAAGTCAACCCCCCCCCCCCAAAAAAAACAGCTTCACTAGAAGCTGAGCTATGTCAAATGGCCCTTAATGTTTATGTACCATTAATAATTTTAAATTAATATTAAAAGTTATATAAATATACTATTAAATAGTTTCAATAAATCATTAGTAATATCAAAATTAAACTAAATAATTAGTCACTAGTCATAGTCATGGAGAGGAAACTTCCAAATAGATTTATTATACCTTGTTCTTCGAATACAGATAAATACGGAATAATCTAACTCGATAGAGAAAAACATTTAAAACGAATTAAAATATATCCATTTAGTAGAAATAAACATAAATATAAATATTCATATTACAATTTTTGTAGCAAATATAAATATTGAATAATTTAGATATTCATTTTTATTAGGCGAACTGCGCAAACTACCATGGGCCTGTTGGGCTGCTGAGAACAAGTGGCTGCGGCCCTTCGTCGCTGGCGTCGTTGTGGATGTTTTGATCTTGGGATTAAAGTTTAGCCTGCGTCACATCAGACTTTGGGATGCTAACTAGGAGGTCTAAACATGAGTTAATTATAAAACTAATTGCAAAGGGTAGACTAATTAGCGAGATAAATCTATTAAACCTAATTAATTCACGATTAGCACATATTTATTGTAGCACAACATTAACAAATCATGGATTAATTAGGCTTAATAGATTCGTCTCGCAAATTAGTCTTAATCTGTGTAATTAGTTTTATAATTATTCTATATTTAATACTCTAAATTGGTGTCAAACCTTGGGCTAAGAGCATCTCCAAGTGTTCCCTAAACATCCCCTAATTCTTATTTTTTAGAAAGATAGAAAAAAATTATCTCCAACAACTCCTAATATTTACTCTTAATCTTTTAAGACTTGGAAAATTCCTCCCCCTTCCACGTAACTTTACGCGGACGAAGCCACGCGCGGAGACGCCGTTCCCGCAGAGTCCTTCTTCCCGCCGGCCTCTGATAGGGAACGCGCCAATCTCCCCCTCGATCCTACCCCTGATGTCGACGAGCAAGGCCTGGCCACCTCGGCCTTGAGCGCGGCATGGCTCTGGAGCTTCTTCATGAGCTGCTGGTTGAGCGCCCGGAGGTGGACCACCTCCACCTCTAGCGATGCGGTGTGGGCCTTCTTCTTCTCACGGTACTTCCTGACGGCGGCGCGGTTCCCCGAGGGGTGCTTCTTGGAGGCGGCGTTGCTGTTGCCGGTGTTGTTGTTGTTCTCAGACGGCGACTCGGCGGTCTCAGGTTGGAGAAATCTAGGTCCCCGTCGTCCATTGCTGCTGCGGGCGCGCTGGTGTGCGGGCGAGCGGGCGGACGCGGGGCAGTCAAGGACACATCCATCCACCTGAGAACATGACAAACCATCGGAAAATTGTGCTGGTATTAGTACTCCGTGGCTGCTCCGGAGACAAATGGATTCAAGGCAGCGGGGGAACAGATTCTACCAGAGACACACGGAACGAGCAAAATCAAATCCGCCGGGAGCGTGGAAAAAAAAGAAGACTGCAAAAAAAAAAAACGTCAAATGGGATCAACATTTAATTTTTTAAAGTCAAATACTATAAATTATTAGAGGTGAATTTCTTTTTTTTCTTCTAAAATCTTTTTAGAAGTTAGTAAATGGAGACTTTTTAGGAGGAATAACCGGGACTTAACCAGTTCCTGTGCAACCTTTCCCCTCCTCCGCTCCGCGGCTATGCCCAACAATTCAAAAGAAACTAAACACCCCTCCGGAAACTTTCCCTCCGCAATGGCGTCGGGCTCGTCTGGCCCCCAAATCGACCAGGTAAAACCCTAACCTAGTTCCTCGCCCATTCGCCTCCTCGCCTCCAAGCGCTAATTCTCCCCGCGATCCGGCTCCACCGTAGTTCTTTCCGGCCAAGAAGCGGAGGCCCTCGTCGCGCAAGGACGAGTCGCCGCGACCCGGGACGCAGCATGAGAGCCCCGGCGGCGCCAAGGGGTCCCTGGAGGAGTACCTCGTCCGTTCGCCTTCCACCCGTGCCGCGGCGGCGGCATCGGCGGTCCCCGTGGGCTCGCCCAGTGGCGGGGACCCGGGCACCAGGCGGAGCCTCTCGGCCGCAATGGATGTCGATGTCGGTTCCTCGGCTCCGGTGGTGGCGGTGGTTGGTGGCGAGGCGGACTTTGATCTCAGGAGGAGCACGGCGGACTTCTTGTCCCATTCCTGCAGGTGAGCGCACTCAGTGTGAAACGTAAGGGGAGTTATATAGTATATTTGTGCCAAGAACTGTTCTTTTGCAAATTATGGGTGTAATCTTGTTGCTCCAGTGCTATCCTGCCTTTGAGGGGTGACTGTGATTACAGCGAGCAGTGGGGTATGAAGCAGAAGCGGAGTGCAACCCAGTCATTCTTGGTTCCTTGTGACAATGACTATGCCAAGAAGCAGCGAGTTGCCCATTGTGGTGGCTTGGAGGCTCTAAAGGTTTGGACCAAGATACACTATCTTTCCATCCTTAGCGTCATCATGTAATAAGTGATTTCATGAGTTTCAACTCTTAGTTTGGTTCTTTGCAGGAGTTGGATGATAATGTGGCTTCCGTGAAGCAATGCATCAATCACCATGGTGGCTCAGAGGCTATGGAGGTTTGGTTATGCCTGAACAAGTCAAATCTGGAACCGTTTCTTTATTTTTCTTTTTTCCTTTTGAACTTCTCATTATGTTCTTTTCAGCAGGAACCTTTTGAGGGGGAACAGGTGAGTTGTGTTGGGTTTTCGGCCTTGCAAAGATGTAGCTTTACCCCAAGTACTGCACAGAGAAAAGTTGGGTTTTCTCTAGCCCCTGTGGAAACCCTAAAGTCTGTATCGAGGAATTCCCTTACTTCACCTGGGGAGGAGTTCTGGAATGCAGCAATTGAACTCGCTGACGGGATATCTGCCCAAGCTGATAAGGTCTGTGGAAGGCCTGAATTTGACGCAGCAGAAGACAAGTCATCTTGTGCAGTAGCAGTATGCTCTAAGACTCTTTGTAGATCAGGAAGGGATGAACTTGACTGTCAAAATACAGTAGGAAGCAATGATACACATCATATGGAGAAATTGTCAAATAAAGTTGAATCACTGGCAGTACACAGTCAGCATATAATTAATTCTCCTTTGCCTGTGAAGCAGCTGGATTTCTTTCATGAGGATGATATTAAAGTTTCATGTTCAAAATTTGAAGCAAAAGGCAGCTATGAAGCTTGTAATGCACAAGCAGACCATGTTCCATTGAAAGACAGTGGCCTTCTAGGAAAGGAAAATCTCAAAGACCCTGTGGATGTGATGAAGAAAAGTGCTAATAATTTGCACACTGATTCTGCAGCCATGAGATGTCAGGGTGTATTCAAGTCAACAATTGAAGGGAAGGTTCACCCAACTCAAGAGGGTGAAAGAGATTCTCATCTTATTAGGAGAGATCTCAATCAGCCAACCCACAATGAAAATAAATCACTTGCTGCATATTCAAATAATTGCAAGACTTGGATAGATTCCAAGAGTAAATTTGCTTCTGAGGAAGTGGAAGCTAGCACACCCACTAGCTCCATTCCTCTGAAGGATCACTCAAAGCTATCAAGTTGGCTTCCTCCTGAACTTTGTGCTATGTACATGAAAAAAGGCATTTCAGAGCTGTACCCTTGGCAGGTTAGGATTCTTTTCCCTAATTATCTTTTTAATAAATCTCTGGCAGCTAGCTTTCTTTCACTTGACCATTTTTGCCTGTGTTGGAAAATTTCTCCAGCAAAGTGTTGCAAACTACTGCTGCCCTCTCTACTAGTAGGCTTACCAGTTATTTTTGCTCATAAGCTAAGCTTCTTTAGTATTTGTATCGTAACAAGTACGTCTCCAAAACAAGTACTTAGTATGTCAAGTGGTGTAGATGCCAATTATATGGTAACGGATTCATACGAAAAGCTTAAGTTTTCTTTTGTATTGCTACCACCACATTTTGTTTTTTCACCCTTTTAATGTTTTTTGCTTCCTTTTTCTCGAATACTGTAGTGCTCTCTTAGATCTGTCTCAAGGCCTGTTTGGTTTGTGCCCCCACTGTGCTAAGCCAAAATTTGGCCACGGAAGAAACCAGGACATGACCAAATTTAGGCAAGTACAAGATAATTGGAGCCAAGTAAAATTACATAAATAGCTACCTAATATTAAAAGAAATAGTGTTTCTTCTTCTTGTCGCCCCCCTCCACCCAATGACAGGTGGGTCCAAGCTGCTCCTGCGTGTCTCTTATAGCTGGTCAGGACTCCGCTCGCTAAGAGCCATTTGTTCATGATTGAATAGCCAGTGTGTGTTGGCCGCCATCTCTGAGGCCATGTTTTCTGACCTAGGGTGGAGGTCCTTGTGGGACGCACGTGTGTTAGTGGGTCAGGCCGAATGTGGTCTGCTTCTTGGAGTTGTATTTTGTTTCTTCTAATATATGCCGTTCGGTTGCATAGGATAGGCTGAAAGAGGAGTTTGGGGCCAAATGAAGTTTTAGTTATTATGGGCTTAGTTCTACAATTTTTTAGAGCACTGTTTTAAATATATGCGAATAAATATTATTGCCTAACAATGGTGCTAATTCATGTATAAAAATTAAGTTTTGGGATATGTTTATTGGGCTAGGGCATGCTAGGGGGTTTTCTCCTGTTGCAGCGCATGAGCATGTCTGCAAGTAGTTCTAAAGCCACCTTGTATGTGAAATGTGGGTCCTATGTGTCAATAAAGTTTTCAGCATTAATTATAATCAATATATGGATCTTGATTGTTGATCAAATTGCTAGAAATATAGGCCGCGTTCGGCTGGCTGGCCGGCTTCGGCTGGGCTGGCCAGCGCACTCATATGAACAGTGTTTTCAGATAGAACAGTATTTTTCCCTCACAACAATCAGCCGGAACAGTATTTTGGCTTATTTTTCAGTCCTGCCGAACTGCCCCATAGTGGTTCAAACAGATATAGAAACTGGAGCTACAGTTAGTCAATATACTAATCACTTTAAGTATGGGTATCAAACATAGGCTGTGTTTGGTTCAGCTTCTGAAAAGTGCTTCTGCTCTGCTTTCGCGTATTACAATTTAACCAGCAGCTTGGACCTACTTTTGGCTTTCAGCTTTTTGCTTTCTCAAATGGTTGGAAACAGAAAGACGTTTACAGCTTTTTCAAGCGAGAGAAAGAAAGGGGTAGGCTTCATAGTTGTTTCAACCAAACAACATATCTTTTTCACAGCGCATAGCTCACATCAGCTTTTCCATATCTCACAGCTCACAACAGTTTTTCCATAGCTCAGTTGAACCAAACAAACCCATAATTGCTTTTTGTTTGGACCTACCAGCTAACTACACATCATAGGGACGTAACCTTTGGCTCCCTGGGAAAACTTGGGCGAGTAATTCAGCCATCCTGCAATGGCGTTCTACAAATGTCTCGGCGTGTCAAATTTTGTTTGGGCCAGCCAAAATTTGACCTCCACCGTGGGCTCAACTCTCTGATCATATTGGGCGCTTGGATCATATGGGACCACCGGAACCGTTGTTTTTTTATGGTATGACCCCTAGTGTTTCTCAAGCCCTGATTGTGGCAGGAGAAGAGCGTCGGCTTTGGTCTATGGCAGGGGCTAGAGGAATCTTTTTCTTGACTGTCCCCATGGCCGTGTCTTGAGTGCTGTTTTTTAGATGGGTCATTCTATGTCCTCTTTTTAATCGGGGCGTTTGTAACTATTAAATGTGGCGTTTGTGGTGTGTGTTGTAACTGGGTTCCTGTCCCAATTTCTTAATATAATGAAGCGCATCTCTCCTGCGTTTTCGAATTTTTTTTTACCTCTAACCAAGTGGTTGCCAGATTGTTGGGGCATGGCCAAATTTTGGTCTGGCATCCTGGGTTCTCAAACTAAACATGTCCTGAATATCCTTGTTTTATCCATGATCATTTATGCATTTGTTTCCACCTTCTGTGTAGACATGCTTTTTTTGCGGGTATTTGTGTGGTTGCACATTCTCATAAGTTGCAATTGTTACTCACCTTGGTGTCAGTGAGTTAGTCTATGGTTTGGCTGCTTTGATAACCAAAATAAACGTGAACGGTTTAGGTCCATCGGCGTATGAAACTGTGTACATGTGCACAATGATCTGACGGTGTCCACAGGAGTTAACGCAAAAATATTATTATCGAAATTTTAATATTTAATGTTGGCTGCAAACTTTTGTCAACTCAGCTGTATCTGTGATTTGTTCAGTATTGTCCTCCATCCTTTTTGTCATTAAGTATCAGGGAGTTCGTAAATAAATTAGTTTTCAAGAATGTTATGGTGAAAAATAATATTGTTCCTTTCTTTAAATATAATCCTTGCTTGCAACTCGTATTGATTGTCCTTTGGGCTATGTTCCCATGTCCATTGCAGGTTGAATGTTTACTTGTGGAAGGTGTCTTGGACAAAAGGAATCTTGTGTATTGTGCATCCACGAGGTGCTTGCAGATCTTTCATGTCTGTTCATACGTGGACATACCTGCACACTTCACATTCTCAGATGCCTACTGTTTTTTTCAAGTTTCTCTTCTATGTTCTATCTAATCTTATGTGTATCTTTTTTGTTGTTAAATTTGCAGTGCTGGTAAAAGTTTCGTCGCTGAAGTTCTGATGTTGAGGCGGATACTGTCAAGTGGGAATATGGCAATTCTTGTCCTTCCCTATGTGTCAATATGTGCTGAAAAGGTTTTTAAATATTTATACAGCTTTGGAATGGTCTGAAACATACTCGTGTTTGATTATTCATTTAACTTTTACAGGCTGAACATCTTGAACAACTTCTTGAGCCACTGGGTAGGCATGTCCGTAGCTTCTACGGGAACCAGGGGGGAGGTTCACTTCCTAAAGATACTGCAGTTGCTGTATGTACCATAGAGAAGGCAAACTCTTTGGTAAACAAGTTGTTGGAGGATGGCCGCCTCTCTGAACTTGGTATAATTGTCATAGATGAACTTCATATGGTAAGCTTGTCTAAAACCGAAGTGCTGCTCAGAACATCCTCTCTTTGCTTTAAACCTTTTGTTGTTGGTACTTTCATGGTTATTCATACCACACCTATTTTGTAATGCAAGTCCATTGCCTTGGGAATTGTCATTTCAGCAAGCATTGAGAATACTAATGTAATTATTCTAATATTTCTATTCTTTGCCCTCTTTTAATAGCGTGTACGAGATTATTGCCATTTAATGAGGATATTTGTTGGCCTGTTGTTAGCTATTAGTGCCCCTTGGCCAGTGTGCATTGTGGAATTGGATTTGTTTTATGAAACAGATGGAGCACTACAGACGTGGTACTATCTGGGATCTCAGAGTAGTGTGTATGCGTTTTGTATGACGCTCTTCAATTAATCCAATGATACACAACTCTCCTGCATGTTCAAGAAAAAAATGATGTACTAGCATTGTAAGTAGTAGAGGTTTTATTTTCTGGAATACGCAGGAGAGCTGCGTATCATTGCATTAAGAAAGGGGATAAAAGGCTTATATAGCCATACAACAGCACACACACGCACCGTCTCTAGATTACATACGCGCTGATTAAAGCGTAAAAAGACGACCTCCCTCAACAAAGTATTTGCTAAACCCTGTGTCGAAGCAATGACCAGTTCACTAATGCCTTTAGCGTCGCCAACCTCCAGAGAGCGGCTTCTTCTTGTGCAAGGAGAAGCACCCGCTCTATCCTAGGCGAGGCACCATTGAACACAATATCATTTCTCACCTTCCAAAGCATCCAGGCTCCTAGCATGACCAATGAATTGAATCCTCTCTTGGTTCTTTTGTCAAGAGTGCTACCGGCTTGTTGCCACCAGTCAAAGAACCCAAGTGGCGAGATGACCGAGGTGCAATATCCGGAGTGCAAAGGTGCGAAATAATTGAAACCAGAATTGCCGAGAGAAGACACGATGTGAGAGGAGGGTTTGAATGGTTTCATCCTCTTGGTCTGTATAAGCAAGTGTTTCGGGATGAGGAAGACCTCTTCTAGCAAGTCTATCACCGTCCAACATCGATTATGTGCAACTAACCAAAGGAAGAATTTGCACTTCCGGGACCCCAATTCTTCCAAAGTAGAGTGCTCGGCTCAAATCGGATCGCTCCAAGGAACAAAGCCTCATATGTTTGGCTTAGTAGAGAATTGACTGAAATGTCCAATTTCCACTTATGAACATCCTCAACCTCTGGCGGCAGAGTAATGTTTCTGAACCAAGTCCCAAATGTCCAAGAATTACGATAGGACCTCCACAGAATGGTGCCCTGGATATCCTGTACTCCACCGATTGTCCATTAGTGCTTCCTGAATCAGACGTTTCTTAACCCTCCTCTTGGGTATAGTTGCAAATAAATTGGGAGCTAATAGCTTAATAGATGACCCTTGTAACCACCGATCAGTCCAGAACTTGGTGTTCGCCCCATTGCCGACTCCAGTAGTTACAAAGAAAGATCAAATAGGGCCTGTGCATTCCCATGAACCGTGACTGGAAGGCTGCCCATGGCTTATCGAGTTCTGGGCTTTTACCCAACCACAACCAACGGACCTCGAGAGTGCCCAACCAAATCTTTGAAGGTCTAAAATGCCCAAGCCACCAAGCTCCTTTGGGACGGCTCACCTTGGGCCAAGCTAATAAACAGTGACCTCCTTTTGCTTCCTTCCCCGCCGCCACAAGAAATTACGACGAATCTTATCCACCGCCTTTAGGCACCATGGAGGAAGCTCCAAGGCAAAGTGGCGAAATATATTAGAACCGAGGTGAGAACCGATTGCACATATGTAGCCCGACGGCTCGATTCATCAACTCAGTTTCCAACTTGGCGGATGGTCACCACCTTCTCAATCGAGAGGTTGTAATTGTGTCTCAGATAGCTTCTTGATGGAAAGACTAAGGCCAAGATATTTGTGGGAAACTCTGAACTACACATGGAAATTGAGTCTAAACCACAGCCAAGTCTTCATTAGAGCATTGAATAGGAGAGACACTTTGCATTTCTGAATATTTGTTCTCGATCCCGAGGATGTGCCAAATAGCCGTAACGGTGCATCCACCATTTTCAAATCTGCGGGCATCGGGCGAAGAAACAGTACCACATCATCGGCATAAAGGGATACACGATGATGAATATTCCTAGTGGAAAATGGCTGCAAGCAACCCTTCAAAGGTGCTCGCCTTTATCAATCAATCTATTCGGGACATCCATGACAAGGATAAAAGCATAGGAGAGAGTGGGTCACCTTGTCGAAGTCCACGCCGGTGATATAAAACCTCACCGGGACCCCATTGAGTAGCACCCTAGTTGATGACGAGCCAAGCAAGCCACCGATCATATCCCGCCATTTACACCCAAAACCCTTCTCGAAGAACCTCCAAAAGAAACGGCCAGAAACCGAAGTTGAAGGCTTTAGAGATGTCCAGCTTCAATAGAATGCGTGGCTGCTTTTGTTGATGCAAGAACCTGGCCGTCTGCTGGACAAGTAAGAAATTATCATGAATACAACGCCCTTTCACGAAAGCACTTTGATTGGATGACACCAACTCACTGAGTCTTCCTGCCAAGCGGTTTGCCAACAGTTTTGTGACCAACTTAGCAAAACTGTGGATAAGACTAATTGGTCGAAAGTCCTTAACTGAGGAAGCATCATCTTTTTTGGGCAAGAGGGTTAGCAGTGCTGAGTTAAGAAGCTGCATGTTCCTAAAATTCCCACGCTGCACTGCTGATATAGCAGCCATTAAATCAGGTTTGATAACTGGCCAGCATATCTTGTAGAAACGCCCTGTGTATCCATCCGGACCTGGGGCCTTATCTGGAGGCAAATGCTTGATGGTGTTCCACACCTCATCCTCCGAAAAAGGCAGTTCCAGGTCGGTCAAATCAATTTGGCTTAAGTTCAGCTCTTCAAGGTTGATGGTCAGATCCCGCTGGCCACTTGTGCCCAACAACTGATCATAGAAATAAAAAATTGCTGCAGCCTTATCCTCATGGCCAGTCAGCACCTGATCATCTACTATTATTTGTGAGATGAAATTTTTGCGCTTCCTATGACGGACATGAGCATGAAACAACGCTGTATTAGCATCCCCATCTTTCAACCAGTTAATCCTTGACCTGACCCGAGCAATTGTTCTCTGCATAGAACTCAAAGCTAGAGAATGTTTTCTCAAAGAGTGCAGCAACCAAAGCTCTCCTTCTGATAGCTGTCTGCTGTCCTGAGCAATTTCAAGTTGATGGATAATTTCTCTGGCAATACCAAGTTGAGCACCAATGTTTCCGATGCATTTCTGACTCCAGTTTTGTAAAGCTCGGGTAAGATATTTAAACTTCAGTGACAGAGTCTCCAGAGGACAAGCCCTTGCTTCAACTGAACCCCAGGCCTGACCAACCACTTCATGGAAACCCTCCAGTTTAGGCCAGAAAGATGCAAAGTGGAATCTGCCCTTTCCAGGCAGCATGTCATTCAGCCCTATAATTAGAGGGCAATGATCTGAGTCCATGGAGGCTGTACTTTGCAACAGACAACTTGGGAATAAATTTTCCCATTCCATGGTAGAGAAAACCCTGTCCAGCCTGCTGAGAGTTTATCATAGCTAACTAAGAGCACTACAAATTCTGGTATAGGTGTATGTGGTATTGGTGTACTGTATACATCAATCAGAACTTCAAATTGGATTTGGCCTGCTCTCTCTTCTCTGCACCTGGGCCGGTTGGGAGTGAATTTGGCCCAACGCCTAGGGCCATCGATCTAGTCCAAGTGATGTACCTTTATCCCTACTGCATCACAGTTTATTTTTTTTGGGGTGTTCTTTTTTTGTTCAATGTTTGGGATGGTTAGTCATCACCCATCTTATCTTAATCTAGTAATCTTATGTGTTACTTTACCTGTTACCTGAGTTTCCATATTGTTAGGTCATAATCATTAAGAGCAATTTGTAAATAAGAAAGGTTTGTCATTCTTGACATTTGTCAGTAAACAAGAAACAACAAAGAAAAGTGCCATTGATCCTGGCGCTCAATGAATTCTGGCAGCATACTTAAGCCTTAGCAAATGCAAATCAAATAGGAAGCATTCGACGTTCCTCAGGGCTTCCCTCATAGATTTGTAATATTGGGCCCAGGACCAATAGCCTACCAGCTCGCCATTCGGCTAAAGCTCTATGACAGTATTACTATCCACCAGCCCCTACTTAAGGAAGCATATAGCGTTGCATCTTTACCTGTTTTTATTTACCTTACCCCATGCCCCTGAATTGGTCCTTTCTTCGTTTCTCCTTTGACTTAATTTGTTGAACATAATGTAATATATAGTTTAAACTTGTTAAGATCTCCAATTATGCAATTACATTATAGGTTGGTGACCAACACAGAGGGTATCTTTTAGAGCTGATGCTCACAAAGCTTCGATATGCTGCTGGTGAAGGGACTTTACAGTCATCTAGCGGAGAAATTTCAGGCTCTAGCAGTGGGAAGATGGCAAGTCATGGGTTGCAGATAATTGGTATGAGTGCTACTATGCCCAACATCGCTGCGGTAGCTGATTGGCTTCAAGTAAGATATTTATTTCTCCTAATTTTATATACTTAATGAAGGGATGCTTTATTTGTGTGAAACAACATTACTAACCCACAGAAGTTCAACTTAGCATTGTAGTTCATTTACCATATTTGAAAAAAAGGAAAGTTAACCTTTATCATTGAGCCAAGATCTGATAAGATGATAATTAGTTCAGAGGCACCTGATAAATATGTGAGCAATTGAACTTCCTAATCCTAGTTATATTTTCTTTCATCAACTTTTTAAGGCATTTTTTTTGCTGTCTTTCTTCAAACCTGTAGCCTAACATGGATATCTTCATCAATGTTATCGGATCGTATGATCGAGGCTAGTCCTATGACCACTGATCAGACGACTAATCACTATTAGTCGTCGATCGGGGTCGATTAGTCGGTCTAGTCGGCTAGTCGAACATTTATTCGTCCATGTGCCTAGATGACCTGATCAACCATGCAGAGCTAGTATCCATCGCTACTCGTCTCCTCCGTGTTGCCCCTTCTTCCTCCGCTTCCCCTCGCCGTCGCTGGAGCGTGCTGTCGGAGCGCGGGGTCGCAAGGAAGGCGACGACGGGGCATTCTCTTCCTCTTCCTCCTCGTGCTCGTCGGCTCTATCAAGCTCCTCTCCACCATGGTATTGTGAAGCTGCTCCTCCCGGCGGAGGGCCTCTGGATCCTGGATCCGCCAATCTTTGGGCCAGACCTGCTCCGGTTGGGCCTATGGCGGCCACGCGGTGGCGGTGCAGCTGTCCCCTCACCCTCTCATGGCTCTTCGCTCGGCTTTGGTGGGTGGTGCCTAGATCCACCGCCACTGTAGCGGGATCGGGCGTCTCCCAGGCGGGGAAGGGTGAATCTACGGAGGGCGGTGGCCCTTGTGCCGCCGGCTTCGTCTTCGAGCATGGCTGGGTGCTTCTCGGCTCCGGCGCTCGGTCAACTTTGGCTTGCGAGCAGCATGTGGCCCGTGCGAGCAGCAGTAACCACGTGTTGGGGTGGGCATGGCCACTGGGGATGGGTGCTCGTTGGTGAGGCGAGCGAGCGCCAAGCTTGCGACCGCGACATAGGAGGTGCGAGCCTGCTCAGGCTTGTGGCGGTGGCGACGTCTGCGTGCTTTGTCTCTGGGCGGTCTTGCTAGGGCACGACAGCCATGGCTGGCCACAGCAGGGCCCTGCTGTGGGCATAGCTTTTCACCTGCAACGGCTCTACGTTAGCTCGAGAGCTGCGTGCGGCGGACGACGAGCAACTTCACCAGAGCTTCCGGAGCAGCTGAGTTGATTGCACACGGTGGTGTGAGGAGAGATGTGTTGGCGAAAGCCTTGGCTAGCATTAGCTTGAGACGCCGCCGCTGACCCCGGGTGTTGTTCCCTTCCTTGGAAGCGTCGTCCAGGCGTCTCCCCTTACCTTGTGGCTTCTTCTGAGGAAACTCTGCCTAGGGTCCCTAGGCAGGTGACAGCGGTGCTCAGCGTTGTATCCTTCCTGAAGGCATCGCCTAGATCCTGTGGTGCTGTGAATGTTGGTCCGCATGGGACATTTACCGTGGAAGTCCCGGGTTTCGACAAGGCTGGGCTCTTTCGGGTTTACTACTTGCTTGCAGCATGTCTTTTGCTCTCCTAGGGTGGATCAATAGCGAAGTCAGAGCTGCTTTCGTTGTGGGTGCAACAAAGCTTGGCAACGATGACACATTGTGTTCACTTTCTTTGGAAGCCGGGGGCTTGTTGTGAGTAGGTGGTGGCGTGTTAGGACTTTGGCTGATGTTCGCTGTGGGAAGTCAGAGCTGCTTATCACTTTCGTGTGATAAGCTCGGCAACGATGGCGTGCGGTGGGCTCCGTCGGTTGTTTGTGTGTAGGTGGGTTGCTCAGGGTTAGTTATCAGGGTTGTCGTGTTTAGGTTTTGGCCAGTTTTCCTTTGATAAACTGTGCGATGTGAGGTTTTAGCCCTGGTTTTCCTTATAAACTGGGTCAATTCTATTTCTTAATTGAAAGGCGGAGCTCCTACCATTGTGTTAAAAAAATGACCTGATCGACCATGTACATATATACTATATATTTGATGTAGATACTATATATCTGTTGTAAATATATGTAAACATGGCCATAAATTGGTAAATGGAAGAGGCAAACAGTCAAGCACAGCAGCAGCAGCAGCCTATGCCTTTGCCCAAGAACTTGGTTCAGCAGCAGCAGCACCTTCAGCTTCACCATGAACTGCTTTACACCACCCCCATCCTCTCCTTGTTCACCATGAAATGCTGCAGCTTCAAGGGGACAGTCACTGGCTTGCTGCTGCACTGCTGTTTGACTCCAGGTCCAGGCAACAAGCGCCGGTGGGGTTGGCCGAACGCGGGAGGCGCTAGTTGGGAAGAGGCGGGAAGCACCGGCATGGGAGAGAAGGACCCGCCGGTGGAGGAGAGGCGGGCCACGGGCCACGGGCTCTTGGAGCATGCGGAGGGTGGAGTCTGGAGGAGAGGCGTGCGAGCGGCTGTCGGAGCAGTGAGCGGAGGCGGGAGAAGGGAACGTGCGCGCGCTCATAAAGCACCAGCGGCTGCTCCTCCCCCTCCTTTCCACAACGTATATATGGTATATATATACCAAAACCTGAAGGCCACCCAATGTGGGCCAATTTCTTCCTAGCAAAACATTTCCTTGGGCTGGCCCAACTAGTCGTCCAGACTACTTATCGGATGAATAATCGTGATTAGTCGTCGATTTGTCGGACGACTAGTTTTTTAGTCGGTCTGATCGAATCGAGAGCCTTATCGAGTCCCAGTTTACGATAAGGACGACTAATCACGATTAATTGCGATTGGTCGTGCGATCTGATAACACTGATCTTGATATCAAGTGACATTCATAGTTGTTCATTGGTTTCTTGTAGTATGCTTAGTGTGCTGGTCAAATACCAAAAGATCTGGATCACGCTATACCGGTTAATTGGTCTTCGATCTGGAAGCACTGTTATCAACTTGAATTTAAATTTTGCACAACGGAATGTAGCTTGGTTAACTAGACAACAATATATGCTACCAATTTGCAGATTTCTAGTGATAAATTTGAGTTAAAAATGAAACCTAGATCTTCAATAGCTCAGTTGGTAGAGCCTCCAGTTGAGAGGATGCCCACCTGAGCTCAAATCCAGGTGCTCGCAGGTAGTGTGAGTACATTCCTAAATGGTTCTGTGCTCCCCTCGCTTAAGGCAAAGTCATCGGGATGTCTTCTCTCTGTTGTCTTCTTTTGCACAACTAACTGAATTTTATTTTCAATTTCGAATCATGCATGATCTATATATGAGGATTTAGGTTTTCTTCGTTATGAACATATTTTGCTGTCTAGTTACTTTGTTAATAGTAAGTTATTTTGTGAAGGTGCTAACTTTTGATCTGTTTGGGTAATATGAATGATTTATAGTTGAATGCCTATTATAATTGATGTTTATGTTATGCTGTTATGTAATCCTAGGCTGCTCTTTATCAAACTGACTTTCGACCAGTTCCACTGGAGGAATTCATCAAAGTTGGTAATCAAATATTTGATAAAGACATGAACGTTGTTCGTGTCCTTCCCAAAGTAGCTGACATTGGTGGCAAGGATCCAGATCATATTGTTGAACTGTGTAATGAGGTAAATCTGATATTTACTCTGCAGGCCTGAGTTTTTCTCTGTTAACCACTACACTTCCGAAACAAATTGAATATCCTACTTGTGTTTGTTCCAGGTTGTTCTTCAGGGCCATTCTGTGCTTTTGTTTTGCTCCAGTCGTAAAGGCTGTGAATCAACTGCAAGACATGTTGCCAAGTTCTTGAAACTACCCTCTGCTGGATCAAGTGATGTTAGTTCAGAGTTTTCAGATGCTGCAGCTGCTATTGAGGCCTTGAGGAGGTGCCCTGCTGGATTGGATCCAATATTGGGAGAAACCCTTCCTTTTGGTGTTGCATATCATCATGCTGGTCTTACGGTATGGAAGTTATCTTCTATCTTCATAAGATACACAAAATATCAACAATAATTTTTTTGAAGTGTACACTGCTAAATGTAATAAAGCGATGCCATTTTCACCTAACCACAACTGGGAAAGGGTGCTAGGAACTGATCTGCCAGACCATTGAGCTCACCATCTATGACCTGTTCTGTTTGATCCAACGAGCATCATCGCCTGCTGTTCTGTGGCAGGTTGAGGAGAGGGAGATTGTGGAATCATGCTACCGTAAAGGCCTTGTCCGTGTTCTGACTGCCACTTCAACTTTAGCTGCTGGTGTTAACTTGCCTGCTAGACGGGTTATATTCAGGCAGCCTAAGATAGGTCGTGATTTTATTGATGGGACTCGCTATAGACAGATGGCTGGCCGTGCTGGTCGAACTGGAATAGACACAAAAGGAGAAAGTGTAAGCTACAATATCTTTGTTCCACTTTATTGTACATAGAGAATGGTTCTGACATTTCACTAGTTCTGTTTTCATTTTTTAATTTGTGTGTGTAGATATTTCTGTTTTTGTCTAATAATTTGACATTTGAAATGCATGCAGATACTTGTATGCAGGCTTGAAGAGGTCAAGAGAATTACAGGTATTATTAGAAGCAATTGCCCTCCCTTGGAGTCCTGCCTCTCAGAAGATAAAAATGGAATGACTCATGCAATTATGGAGGTTGTTGCTGGTGGGATTGTGCAAACTGCAAATGATATTCATCGATATGTGCGGTGTACGCTGCTTAACTCGACGAGACCTTTTGATGATGTCGTGAAGTCAGCTCAAGACTCCCTTCGTTGGTTATGCCATAAAAGGTTTCTTGACTGGAACCATGAGACCAAGATATACTCCGCTACTCCCCTTGGTAGAGCTGCTTTTGGAAGTTCACTCAACCCTGAGGAATCACTGGTAGCATACTTGTCTTTGCTCCTTCATTATTTCATTGCATTGTTTAATCTTGCATTTTTCTGTTTCTGCTCTAGGTTGTTCTTGATGATCTTTCGAGGGCAAGAGAAGGCTTTGTTCTGGCATCTGATTTGCATTTAGTTTACTTGGTCACACCCATAAATGTAGGTCTTGAACCTGATTGGGAATTATATTACGAGAGATTCATGCAACTTGCTTCTCTTGAGCAGGTATGCAAGTTTTCTTTTGTCCTATTGACTTGAAAGTTCATTATCAAACTGTAAGTAGAATATGCAGAAATTCAAGTTCTATCTGTACTCATTAGAAAATAGTTGAAAGTGAATTCAGAAAATATGAATTTAGTTGCTGTTGAACTAAATGTGAAGCAAAAGTGAATTGAGAAAATGTAAGTCAAAATTGTTAAGGTTGTCAAGGATATCTACTATACCTAAATAGGTGAACCCCACTAGAGGATTTTTCTGCGATTTCGTGAAGCCACGTCACCTTGGTCGACTTCTACCTCTCTTAAGTAATCATCTTCAGCTTCCGGCATATTGGTAACTGATCATAGTGCTAAAAAATACCGCCACCAACCCACCTTACCACTAGGCCATCAAGAGTTCTTTTGTCTTCATGCGTGAAAGCTGAAACAGATATGGCCATTAGCCTTCCCACTATATATCTAAACGGGTGGGTGGGGCGCAAAGCCTCCCTCGGCAGTCGACGATTGTGGCCTCCCATGGGCGAATGGTAGCGGTGACCTCCGTGAAGCGAGCTGGGCTGCAGGTGCAGAGGTACGACAAGATGCAGATGCCTACAGCGGCCATGCGGGGGGCGATTGAGGAGGCCATGGCGAGGTCGCAGGTGGCGACGCATGCAGGAGGGGCAGTAGGAGCAAAGGGGCGGCGCCGGCAGCATGCAGCAGCAGTCTGGAATGGCAGCGGTGGGGAGGATATGGCGACGACTCGAGAAGCAAGAACAGCACGCATGAAGCTGTCTTTTGTTTTAGTGCAGGTCCCGCAGCTGAACCAGGTCGGATGCGGTATTATACTATTATACGTTCAGAAATGAATAGTTGCATGTATACTGCTATCATCCACCTAATCACCGGAACTAGCGTACACACTCTCTGATAGCCTGCTCCTGGAACTGCAGGTCACCGCTTTAGGGTATTACTTTCTGAATAAAAAAGGGTCGTGGATTTCATTAGTATAGAGTTTCAATAAAACTATCTGGAGTGCCTCTTAACTACTGCAGATTTCTATATGTATATGGTATTTGATCAATTGATTCTAGATGCCGCACATATACATCACATTAGCTCTCATATATCTATATTTAATCCTCATTGCACTACGTTTTTCATTCTGCTTTGCCACAGTTGGTTCGTGTGATTTAAAATTGCCAATAATTTCACTTCGATTCTGCTTAAATTTCTTGATCCAATTGAACCATTGCCGCAGACTCACATGGAAGACATGCAATACTACAAATCTCCGCAGCAACGCGCGGGGTATCATCTAGTTAGTGTAATCTTCTAGTCTAGGGTTTCCCTCTTATGTCTCTCATGTACTCTTATAGAGCTTATTCTTTCAATTCAGTGCCTGTTATTTTTAACAAAAAAATGGAATGTGTGAAATCTGTTTTGGTATTTTTACATAACCATGAATCAGACTAAAACATACATATATTAATTGGACTCTTTCGCGCTGTACTTGGTTGCAGTTTACTACTTCATATATTATTTGACATGGTTCATAAGATTCTTTTTAGGACTTGGCAGTTCTTATTAGCTTTTTGCAATCCCCATGTTTTCTTTGGCCCAACAAAAAACGGAACAACTGACATGATAACATGTTTTCTGCAGAACATTAATCTTTTATCAGTGGTGTTATCATTACAGTGCCAAAAATGTTTATAACTGTATGCCATGTCTACCCTATTAAGGCCTAAATGATGAAGGGTTAGTCGCAGACCTTTTGGGGCCTGTGCACTGTTCATGCGAAAAGTAGATGCGTTACCATTCATGCTGTGTCCGGGGTTTGTTAAGATAGACATTAGATTAGATCGGGTTGACTTGTTGGCTATTTCCTTAACGCTAGAGAGTAGTTGTTAAGGATCAAGTCTCCACATCTATATTGCAATGGGATTGTATCTACTTTGAATTAAGTAAGAAATAGATAGATCAACAGTTCCTATCTGGCTATCTCCCTCCTTAACACTGGCTTTGTCGCATGGCCACCAGGCAGTATGCTCGTGACACCGTATCTTTCTGAAGTTTACCATATTGGTTGAGAAATCAAACCATTACTTACATTATCAATTTCAGTTCATAGAACACACAATTTCTCTCATTTTTCAATTTCTGTTTGTTTTGTTGGTCAATGCAGTCAGTAGGCAATCGGGTTGGAGTAATCGAACCCTTCTTGATGCACATGGCTCATGGGGCGTCAATGCCTGTTTGTGGAAGGCCTCAGAGAAACACTGGTTTAAGTAACAAGTCAGCACAAGCCGGTGGAAATGCTCTTGTTAGTGAGCATACTCTCAGAGTGTCAAAGCGCTTTTATGTGGCTTTGATGTTATCGAGGCTTGCTCAGGTATAATCTAAGAACTATTGAGACATTGCGTGTTATTTCTATGTCAATTCATAGTGCTCAAGATCGGTAGAAAGCTTAAGTTGCTAAACATAAAAATTAGTTCAATAGGGAAATAAAGGTTGAAATGTTTTCTCATTATAGATGGCCAATTAAAATATTAGTTCATGTTTTTTTATTTTTGTAGAATACACGGGAGAGTTGCGTATCATTTCATTAAGAAGGGGATAAATAAATAAGTTACAACACACCCACCACGCTCACACATGTACACTCGTACAAACTCGTACCGAAATATGTTACAACACACCCAACACACCTTTTGCATCAAACCAAGACCCTGGGGTGGGCATTCGGGGAACTCGAAAATTTCAGGCACTTGAAATTGCTACCCGATTTTGGTCCCGAAAAAGCATTACCCGACATAGTATTATAGGTTGGTTCCTATAGACATAGTCTGCTGTTTTGCTTGGATAAGAAGATTCGCTACTGCTCTACTATCTGATAGCTTGTAAGAAGCAGCCAATTTTGACTTTGCTAGTGTGGAACAGCAGTAGGAGGATATGTTGGTTTGCTTTCTTAGGCACTAAGGCTAGCAGCTGCCTAGGAGTATCCAATTTCTGATTTTTCTAGACAACAGCCATAGGAGGATCTATGCGCTATATGAAGAGTTAAACACATGTCATAGTTTGCCACTTAGGTCCACGAACTCTGAAAATGCATTTCTGTAGATAACTAAATTTGTGAGTTGTGGTCCACCGCAAATCCACATGGTCCATTTCAGCACCAATTTCCTATATGGTGTTGTGTTGACCTCGTGCCTCTCTCTGCTCTTTATTCTTCCACTCCTAGCATCTGCACCTCTCCCTCTGCCAACAATGACTACCAAGGTGCCATCATGAGCACGGACTACCAAGGTGCCCTTTGTAGTCTCCAGTCAAATCTTTGAGGTGCACCTAAGGCGCTCCTTGGTAGGTCTAGCCTCCTCGCTATATTCGGGTGGTGTGCGGGTCAAAAGGCGACGCTGGAAGATGTGAAGGCAGACGCGTTCATCGCCTACCAGGTACCAATGACATGAAGCCTCACTCCACCATCGGTGTTGTCAATTTGTGCAGCTCCGTCCTCGTTGCCATGGCAGGCTCAAGTGGAAGTCAAACAAGGGAGGGGCCACCGTGCTCATGCGCTGAGTATATACTGGCACCACCTTGGACCTCGTCTTCACCACCACATTCTGCATCTTGGACCTCGTCTTGACCAGACTAGTGAGCTTGTGCTCATTGGTTGCCAATTTGGCATGCTACGACGTGATGGCCTTGCTGAAGAGCTAGAGGACGGCACCGAACGCAGAGCCCAAGGCGTCACAGTTGACGGTGAACCCCTTGGAGAAGTCACTATAGAGCAGGGCTAGATGTGGGGGCTAACTTCAGCGCCATGATAGCATCCGAGGCCACCGGGGACCAACGGAAGGCGTCCTTCAGGAGCACCGTCAATGGGTGGCTATCACACCGTAGTTGCTGATCAAGCGGCGATAGTAGCCCGTGGGGCCGAGGAAGCCCCGCAACACCTTGAGAGCCCAGGGTTGAGGCCATTGTTGAACGGCCTCCACCTTGGTCGGGTCCATGGCATGGCCTAAATATGCCACGCTGTGCTCGGCGAAGGAGCACTTGGAGCGCTTGAGGAGCTTGTGGGCGCGGTGGGTGTAGACAGCTCGCACATGTTGCAAGTGTTTCGATCAAGGGATAAACTAGAAATCAAGATGTCGTCAAAGAAAATGAGTACCAAGTGGTGGAGGATGGGCCAAAGGACCTGGTTCATCAATGCCTGGAACGTAGAGGGCATGTTGGACAGGTTGAAGGACATTACGATGAACTTGAAGTGTCCATGATGCGTGTAGAATGCTGTCTTGTCGATGTTCGCCGGGTGCATGCGGACCTTAGTGAAGAAGGTGCCCCCCTTGAGCTTGTAGCGCACAGTCTTGGTGTTGAGGGTGCGATAGTTGATGCAGAAACGCCAGCTCGTGTCCTTGCGTAGGTGCACCGCGATTGTTGTACCTGGCAGCAACGTAATGCGGTTGTCTAGGTGTCATGGTGGCAGGCCGGTCGGTTCCGCAAAGAGGTCGGACGTCAGAGAACTCTGCTAGGAGGAGCGACATCATGTCCAGCCGCTCCATGGCGTTGAGCTGGGGCATGCTTGGAGCATCTAGGCCACGCCACTTGATGAGGTGAGCGCCGCGCCAGAACGCCATAGAATTGCTCTCAATGTCCCATAGTGTGGGCCGAGCATCTTGAGCCACTAGCAGCCAAGGACCAGCCCATAGTCATCGAGGGGTAGGACGTAGAGGTCGATGTAGATACGCTGATAAGGAATCTCCTTGAGGGTGGCCCGATCTTCATGACAGTAGGTCGAAGAACGAAAGATAACTTGCTGCGAACAACAGAGTAACTAGCTTTATACCTGTCCAAGGTTGGATGCGACCAAGTGACAGGGAGAGAGGTACCGAAACCGTGAAGACTTCGACTCGATCTCCGAACGACCGCAGAACCACAATCCGGAACTAATCCACACAAAACGGTGTAGCCGTACTGGAAACCGTAGAGCACGAAACAGGGGATTCTAGAGGAATCTCTTCACAAGTCCAAGAAGAACAAGGAGGAACAAAGGTTTGAGTAAGACACTCAGCAGCTCGGCTGCAATATCATGCGGTTTATCAATTCATCAAAAGGTTTCTAATAGCTTAGAGGCAGGGGATACTTATACTAGGAACAACCCTCCTAGGTAGGTGTGAAAACGAAATGGAGTTTCTGAAGATAGGCTATGTGAAAGTTCACCACGAGATGGATTCCCGAAGTGGTCTTGCGTGACTATTGGCCTCCTGAGCAGTCTCTACTAATCTTACCATAACTCTTTATTGGGAAGTCGAAATGACGAGCCGTTTGTTGGGTGTGAAAGTAAATTCGATAAGCTTTCCAGCCATGTGTAGCATGCATCATGAAACGCTGTAGAATGGTACAAAACGGGAAGTTGTACCAACATTCTGTTCTGGGAAGACTGTTTACCTTCTGAGCAGTCTTCACTAATCTGTTCATATCTCAAAATTGGGAATTCCAAAATACTTGGAACTGGTGCCATTGGAAACTAGGCTTGATAAGCTTTCCAAAATGTCCTCATGGACCTCCAAAGCTTTAGGGAATCGAGATTTATGAATATTTCTTTCAGCTGGTCCATCTTCACTGTGCTGGTGCGAACTGATGGTCCGTTTTTCACTGTGCTGGTCCGACGTAGAGCAACATCCTCCTCTTTATTTGTATACCTAAGTACAACCAAAGTAGAACACTTAGGTAGTATAGTATTCTCATGTATATTGTAGTTAATTTCAGCTAGGAGTGAGTTCACCTCTTTTTTGAGTACTTTTGCATGGCTACGCGTAATTGGCCCTTCATACACTTGCTTATGTGTAACTTGAGTAACCGGTGGCATGTCCTTCATCATCCTCCTCTTGAAAAGGAGTCGTCCTCGACTCTTCCAATCCAAAAAATTGTGCTAGGCCGTCGACTTGTAGGTTTGTGATAACATCACAATTTTCTCCTTCCATCACATCAAGGTGTTTGAATCTATAATCATATAAACCAAGTAGCAGCCTTGGAGGTGGAAACCAAAAGGATTTGGAATAAAGTTTAGCTTTCACCTTGAATCGATGATTACAACTAATGGTGAATGTTGATTGCCTTGGCACGGTCATCATACGCTCTCCGATGGCCATGTGCACGGTCTCATCATACGCTCTCCGATGATTACAACTAATGTGATCGCCATTGGTGATGCTCACGGTGAGATCTGGGCATGGCTCTAACTCAAGGCTGAGGCGGTGTGCTGTGGTGGACACCACAAAGGAGTGGGTGGAGCCGGAGTCCACCAAGGCACGCAGCTGCTTGGTGGCGATGGAAACCGGTAGGTGCATAGTGTCCGCCGTGACAATGCCGGTGAGGGCGTGGAGGGAGATTTCGACGTCGTCGTCAGAACTTGGGTCATCTTCCACCGCACCGCCGACCAGAGCCTCGCCATCCAACTCCCTTCATCGAGCAGGACTTGTGATGGTCCTTGGTGAATTTCTTTGGGTAGTTGAAGCAGGGGATGTCTGCCGGCATTGGGCCAGCTCCTGCGGGGTGAGCCGCTTGAAGCGAGCGTCTGCTTGATGCGCGCCCTTCGTCGGGGCCGGTGGAGTCTGGATCGGTGCCTTGGCGGGCTGGGCTGGTGTACGCTGCGCGGGCGCCGCCGCTCTATGCGCTTGGCGCTGCATCGGCGTGGGCCATGGAGGCACATGGGTGGCGCTGAGGTCATCATCGTTGTCCGGTTTTAGGCGACGTTCAAATGCACGTGTGAGGCCTATAGCATCGTCGTGAGACTTGGGATCTTGAGCTCCACATTGGTCGGAAGTGGGTTGCGGAGGCCAGGAGTGAAGATGTCGATCTGCTGCTGCTCCGTGACATTCTTGCAGCTTGCCAACATGGGAAGGAACTGCCCCTGGTGAGCGCAACTTCATATGGGCGCCGAGGGAGTTGCTGCGCACCGGGGGGCCAAAACGGTGTTACACCCGGTCAGTGGACTCCGGCCAGGTGGGGGCCGTGATTCTGTTGCTGGCATAGTACCAGTCCTAGGCAGCACCCTCCACGTAGAAGGTGAGCTATGGGTGTGGAAAAATTGTTCTGCCTTGTGGACCCAGACCACCGGATCGGTGGCGCCATCGTAGTGTGGAAAACACAGCAGTGGGTGGGTTGGGAGGTGGGGGCGGAGGTTCGGTGCTAATCTTCACCTTGTTCGTGCCGCCGTCAGAGCCTCTCAATTCAATCTTTTCTGTCTGCAGCTGATTGGTTGCCACTGTCAAGTGGCTCTGGTCGCCCTTCATTGTCGCCATTTCGTCCTTGATGAAGGAGAAATCAGCGAAGAACTTGTCCATCGTGGACTTGAAGTCCACGGCGGTGATGGAGTCGGCCATGAACAGGTCACAGAAAAGTGTCTTTGCAAAGGTGATTTGGCTGGATTGTTGGCTTTATTGAAACAATGGCAAGGAAATGAGCCTGATCAACCTCCCTAGGAGGCTCTGGTCATAATAACTCACTTCTTGCTTAACCCCTAGTCACATTCGGTTTACAGATAAATAGGCTTAGAGGCTAACCACTCTCCTAGAATTTCTGTCTTCTTTCCTATTATTCCTCCTAGCCTTCCAACTAAGCGCCATGCATAACTAAGGAAAGACTCAACAAACTCGCCAACTAATTAGGTGTGGCTGTTATCCACTTGGTGTTATGGACGCCGGCTTGCTCTTCTTGCTCACAAGTGTCCACAACAGGCTGTTCGTGACTGCTGGTGTGTTTAACTCTACTATGAAAATATCTATGTGCAGTATGAAGAAGCTAAGCTATTTGGTTCAGAACTGAACCTGTATTCAGTCTTAGCAACTCCACTCATCACCCTCCTCTAGTTGCGATCCAATAGAGAATGTCTGATATGTATTTCATATGCACTTTGCACAAGCAGATTAAATTATGTCCAAGTTGTGTATTGTAATGGTCTTAGGTGCTGTTTGGTTTGCGGTTCTTGGCCCGTAACCAGTTCACGCCTCAATCTAATTGCGCTTCTTCGCGTTTGGTTTTGCGTGGTCCATAATGGATAACAGCGGCAACCGTTCCGGGCCCATAGAACGCAGATCCCACTCAGCATGGAGCGGTAACGGATCCAGTTCCATGCTCCCTTGCGCACTCATCGAAACAAACAAATCAACGGTATCAATTACGCGGAACTATTTGCGCCGTGACGTGGTCCCATTTACGTTACCATTTACAACTTTGAAACAAACAGCACCTTAATGTAAGTTTGTTTTGTAATATAGCCATTAGGAATTGTTCGTTGTGGTATTGTCAATTTCTTCTCCTGTATTTTGTTTGTTTATCTTTTATTCCATGTTGTGGTGTTTCCATCTTGTTTCCTTGAAAAGATTGTACTGTTCTCTTGTAATGCTTCTTTCAGGAGATTCCTATTGCTGATGTTTGTGAGACATTTAAGGTCGCCAGAGGTATGATTCAGGCACTGCAGGAAAATGCTGGCAGGTTTGCTTCAATGGTTTCTGCATTTTGTCAAAGACTTGGTTGGAATGATTTAGAAGGCCTTGTTTCGAAATTCCAAAATCGTGTCTCTTTTGGAGTTAGGGCAGAGATTGCAGAACTGACATCAATTCCATTTGTCAAGGTGTGCTTCAATTACCATGCATGTTTGAATTATCTAAGTGTCGCTGCATCTTATTTCAGTATGGTAATGTAAAATATGAAATAGGGCTCACGTGCAAGGGCTTTGTACAAGTCTGGTCTGCGTACTCCTGTTGCCATTGCTGAAGCATCTATTCCTGAAATTGCAAAAGCTCTTTTTGAATCTTCTGGTTGGTCTGGGCAAGGTACTCTTTCAAGCATTCATGGTTTGATCTTTTCCTTGCTACCCTTCTTCGTGTACTTGTTTTCTAAGGATCTAATTGTTGACATTAGCAGTGGTGGTAGCAATAAGTGTAGCAATAGTAGTAGTAGTAGTGTTACAGATGCACAAATTAGTTTCTCAGTTGCTTCTGGATATGTTCAGTAATAAGCTTGCAGATACTTTGTTGTTTGTTTTAAGCCTACTCTAATGTCAATCTGTTGAATTGACTAGACTCTGGTTTACTTGATTTAATGCAATTTGGTATAGCCAAGAAAATAAAAAATGGAGCTCGCAAAATTGTCCTGGAGGAGGCAGAAGCTGCCAGAGTAGCAGCATTCTCAGCTTTCAAGTCACTTGGTGTGGAAGTTCCTCAGTTCACTGCACCTCCACTCGCAGCTATTGAGGACTATCCAACTCGAGATACCATAGACCAAGCTAAGTCCAACAAGCTAGCTTTTGGTACCCATGCTAGAGATGATAAAAATAAGAATAACTGCTCTGATTATGCTACCCCAAGGGCTTCTACATACAGTCTAAGAAAGGATTTAAACCCTGCTCCTTCCATTCAAATGAAAGAGAATGCAGAACTATCTAAAAATGTGAAAATCACTAGACAGGGAGCAGCAGCATCTTTGTCAACAGAAATTGCTGATGGATTGAGTAGTAGAGATGTGGCTGACAAAGGCCCTGTCCATGCATATAACTTTCCAGGGGTTTTGACTGTTTTCTTGATCAATGGTCTGCTGCTAGCAAATTTTTCTTGATGTCCATTTTATCAAGAGATCGCTGAAACCATCTTGAACCTTTTGAAGTTTTTGGGTTGGCTGTCTGTTGGGAAAATTCCCCCATATACTACTGCAACTTCCCAAAAGATCTAGTCACTACTGGTAACAATGACTTCAGGGAAATGTGGGGTTATTTTCAGAGAAGATGGGAAAAAATAACGGACATTATGCAACAAAAGAGTGTCCAGAAAATGACATGGAATTTAAAGATCCAGATTCAGGCACTTAAATCACCTTATATCTCTTGCCAACGGCTTGAAAGGTTTCATCTTGACCATAAAATGCTGGACAAAGTTGAAGTGCTTGACAACTCATATATGTTGTTATCACCAATCTCTGTCTACAATGGATTGGATATATGTCTGCTGGCGTGGGTTCTATGGCCTGATGAGGAAAGCAGAACGGTACCAAATCTTGAGAAGGTATATCATATATGTCATGTTCTGCAATACCTTTAGCTTTTCATTGCTGATGCACTGTCCCTTCATGCTCATTTTTATGTCTGATTTCTTCTGAACTTTGCAATAGCAATACACATCTGTTAATTTTGATGCTGAGCTATTTCTGATAATGTAGTACTTTTTATTTTCATCCTTTGTGATAAACAGTTTGTCAAGAGGCGACTTCATAGTGAAGCTGCTGCTGCTGCAAATCGCGATGGAAGATGGAGAAATCAGATGCACAAAGCAGCACACAATGGATGCTGTAGGCGTGCTGCACAGACACGAGCTTTGTATACTGTTCTGAAGAAATTACTTACTCAAAATCTTTCTGATTTGGTTGAAACAATTGAGGCCCCGTTGGTACAATTCCTATTCTTACGTAATACTCTCTCCAATTATAACAAAAGTGTCATTTTGGGTTGCATGCGGTTAACTTGTTTAAACTTTGATGCTTTGGATTGAATATCTGAAAATGGCTTAACTAGATTCCTTTTGGAAAGTAGTTCAAAACATTACAACTTTGCTATAGTTTCATACACTTCATAGTAGTATAGCAGTCAAATCATCCTATTAGTACCCGTGTTGATATCCAAAATGACACTCTCTTGTGATCGGAATACAATATTGCTGCTTGTATTATGCTTGAATATCTCTTATGCATTTATTTTGACAGGTTAATGTTCTTGCTGATATGGAACTTTGGGGAATTGGCGCTGACATGGATGCTTGTCTCCGTATGCGAGGCATATTATAACAAAAAGCTGAAGGAACTAGAGAAAGAAGCTTACAGATTAGCAGGCAAGAATTTCTCTCTAAATGCTACTGCTGATATCGCAGACATTCTATATACACACCTAAAATTGCCAGTTCCAAAAGGCTGTGAGAAAGGGAAGCTGCATCCTAGCACTGACAAGCAGTCTTTGGACCATCTAAGGTATTTTCTTTTTTTCCTCCTGTTAATTCTGAACATCAAAAATGTCATTTCTGGTTCTTTGGTGCTGTGACCTTTGAGCCTTGGCGTCGACTATGGAAGACTTGGGCCCCTGCCAAATGCAAAATGTTTTTGTGGTTGGCAATCGAAATAGATGTTGGACGGCAGATAGGCTTGCTAAGAGGGGCCTCTCTCATCCGGATAAATGCCCGCTATGTGATCAAGAAGATGAGACAATACAACATCTTTTAACAACATGCATGGTGGCAAGACAAGTTTGGTTCAGATTATTCACTCCACTGAACCTAGCAGATTCAGTCCCCCGACAAAATGAACTGAGCTTTGCTGACTGGTGGCGCACGACGATGAGCAGAGTTAGCAAGGAGCACGGAAAGGAGTGAACACTTTAATTATTTTAGGGGCCTGGATTATTTGGAAGCATAGGAATGCATGTGTTTTTGAGGGGGCTTCTCCTTCGCTTAACATGATTTGGAGTGAGCTGAAAAATGAGCACATGGCTGGGGCGAGAAAATTACAGGGGTTAGGTCTCGCGCTTGCAGACTAGGTCTTTTTGTGTTAAGGTCGAGTCATATTGTCCACTATGTGTTTAAACCTTAAGGCTATGTAATTGCCTCACTCATATTTGGTCCCCGTATGAGTGAGGATCCTGTTGGGACCCCCCCCCACCTTTCATCTCTATAATACAATGAAACGCAGCTCTCCTGCGTTTCAAAAAAAAAAAATCGGGTTCTTTGGAAGTACTTGTGTGCCATTTTATATCCAGACATTATGTATGGAAAATTTTTAAATGTGTCAGTATATCCGGCCATTTGAAGGGCAGGCCTGGTGCAGTGGTGAGAGCTGTCTCACTGAGTCACCAGGTCGCGGGTTCGAAGCAGCCTCTCCGCATATTTTGCGGGGGGAAGGCTTGCCTCGGTTTTTCCCTTCCCCAGACCTCACTCATGTGGGAGCCTCCGGCACTGGGTCTGCCCCTTTTTAGTATATCTGGTGTCTAGTCAGTGATGGTCCGGTGGTAGTTCTGTGTGAGTAAAGGTAAATTATTATGTTGTCTTTATGAGAGCTAGAAAAGTGCTGGTGGGGCCACATTTTATTATCATTTGATCATCTTCTGGACATGCTTTTAGAATATCATTGTGCTAATATGCACTCTTTTTCTGTTTTTGGAGTCAATTAACGGGATTAACTCATTTTTTCATCCCTAACTAAATACGTGCATTTTCATTGCATGTTCAAATAATTTCTTTTTTATTTGAAAAGCTTATGCCAAAGGGAAGCACATGTATCACTGTCACCCCTTTGTTTACCTTATTTTCAGTTTATGGGCTGCTGCTGATGTCCCTATTATATGCACTCGGAAGATCTGTAGCAAGGCAAGACTACTGCCTTGCCAAGCAGGCCTTCCTTTTGATTGAAATCTATGGCACTCTTTCGATTTCACTTGGCCCCAAATTTTCCTCGACATAGAATTGCCGTGGCTTTATAGTTTACTATAAAATCCTTATCAACTGGACATAATGCTCTCTTTAGGGTTCTATCAATTATCCCAATAATGTAGAACTTTAATTGTCCATTTTGCTAAAATATTTTTGAATTTTTCTGTTTCCTCAGGGATCAACACCCAATTATCCCAGTAATTAAGGAACACAGAACATTAGCAAAACTGTTAAATGGCACATTGTGGTCCATTTGCTCACGTGCTCAATTGTGCACTCAATCACAAAGGTACATCATACATGGTAATTGGCTTCAGACATCTACTGCCACTGGCCGTTTGTCCATGGAGGAGCCAAATCTGCAGGTTCTTTAGTCATAGTAAATGTTTTGTGTGTTTTGTTTGGATTTCTGTTATTGAGGAATAACCTACTGATTTACCCTGTTACTATGTAGTGTGTTGAGCACTTGGTGGAATTCGATACAGGGAAAAGCGATAAAGATTACTCAAGCGTGTCAGTGGATTATCATCATAAAATCAATGCCCGTGATTTTTTCATACCGACCAAGGTTTTCCTCATTTCACTTTTATGTATTTATTAAGTTTTCCCTTTAATTAGGATAGCTGACGATATTTTTCCTGTAACAATGCTTTAGATAATGTCATGATCTACTTATTTTGTAGGAGAACTGGTTATTCGTAACTGCTGATTACTCACAGATTGAGTTGCGTTTAATGGCTCACTTTTCTAAAGATCCTACGTTGGTTGAACTTCTAAGTAAACCTGATGGTGATGTTTTTACCATGATTGCTTCAAGATGGGCTGATAAAGAAGAGGCCTTGATATCTTCCAAAGAGAGAAAACACTAAAAGATTCATATACGGCATCCTTTACGGAATGGGTGCAAACTCCCTTGCAGAACAACTTGAGTGCAGCACTGAAGAAGCTGCACAGAAGATTCAAAGCTTTAGGAGATTTTTTCCTGGTGTTTCCTCATGGTTACATGAAGTTGTGTTATCTTGTCGCCAAAAAGGGTTAGTCTACTTGGTAGCAATTTCTGTTTAGTCTTTCTTTATATATAATATCGTCCCTTTGATTTTGATGCTAACGTTGAATGAGTTCTATGAAAAATATGTTACTCCAGACGTAACTTTTGAGATATTTCATATTTGAACTTTTGAGATATTTCGTATTTGAGCATGTATTAACATGTCTTCCAACATTAGTATGTGAGCTGCTTCTCATAACAATTTAAGGTGAATATGTTGCATGATAATTTGGTTGTATTTGGATTTTTAAGTTTAGGCCATGTTATTTATATTACAACTGCTTAAGATCAGTGCTCAATCCATTGGGTTGACATATGCACATATTAAGTGTAAGGCCCATCTATCTATAGGCCCATATGGCCCATGAGGTTGTATATATATTGTCATCTCCACTACTAGAGTAGTGGTCTTATGAAATCCCCAAGGTTAGTCACATGATAACAAAGCCATGGATTAGGGTTTGGGTTAGGTTCATCTAATCCACTCATGATTCAATTTTCTTTTTACCTGTGCTCTGCCGGTCACCGGCCTTCTTCAGTTAGTTGTGGCCTAACGTGTGAAACCCTTGCTATCTCACAACTTCCACCCGCTTGTAGTGCGTGGCCCATCGAGGACCGTGTTCACCCGCACATTGGATTGCAAATCATGTCCACTCGTCACTGCCCTTGTCTGTGCAGTCCACGCGGGAGGACCCGTCGCCTGTCGTTGCTCATTTGCCCCATCTCTGCCCGTCGCCGCTTGTTCGCCCCATATTCCACAGTTACCATTCGGTTTCGCCCCTTGCGGATTGATTTGTTGTTCATCTGCCTGTTCGTGGAAACAGTGCCTTTTAGTGTCTGCCCACTCATCCTTCTTACATGGTTCCCTTTGTCTGCGCCTTCATTTTTCTATGCTGTGGATTGGCAGGTGGTTGTCATCGTCTCCAGCATCAACTTCCTAGAGAAGACAGAGGGGGTGTTCTTGTGATTGGTGATCCGATTCCTCATTATGTACAAGTGGAATTTGATTGCAACATGCCCTGCACTATTTACATATAGTTTTTTCATGGGTATACAAGCTGAATATGATTCCACTCCTACACAATCGCTTCATAATTCATCTACTCTCACTATAAAAAAAACTCGAACCTTCTCACCCGACCGAGAAAACCCCCGAACCCCCGCCCCCACCCTTACATGGTGGCTTTCCGTCGCCCAAGTGAGAATTGGGCTGGTGCCCCCCCCGGTGCTTTGATTATGGGGACGGACGAGGGGATTTTTTTAACCTCAGCCTGAAATTCGCTCCCACGGGGAGTCGAACTCAGGACCTGAGAAGTGCCGCCGGGTCACCTAACTGTTTGAGCTAGGCACCCTTTGGCATCTACTCTCACTATGGCACTAGCATTGTCTGATTTACTTGCACAAGAAACACGTTTCGAGTCTCTCCTGTGTCTCATAGTGTGTTGGTTTATTTTTCTCGAAAATGCAGGAGAGCTGCATATCATTATATTATAGAAGAAAAAAGAGGGGAAATGAACCCAAGTAGCGTTCAAAAGGTTACAGACTCGCTAGTGCTAAAAGAGAAAGCAACCTTAACCACAAACTCTATTGAGACTCAACATCAGCTAGGGTCAGGGGCCGAGCTTAGTTGGGGCCAGAGGGGCCCTGGCCACCCCCGCCACCACTAATTCTCCATTAAATGAACAGTAATATGGCTACTGTTCATTCATTTTTAGTCAAAATTAGTGAGGTCGCTCCTCGACTTGAGCTCAAGCTTCCCCCCCTGGCTAGGGTGTACAAGCAGGACATCCCTCAAGCCCCAGCCAACATCCACAAATGAAGCTCTTCTGTAGTGAGCACCCAAACCACCCCTAGATTAGGTGCTATGCCATTAAGGACACATTGATTCTGATGCTTCCAAAGACAACATGCTTCGAGGATGACCAGAGAGTTGTCAAAGGACTAGTGCACTAAAAAGTACCTGTCTAGAGCCCTGTACACTGTGCTATAGGACCATCCATCTTTTAGAAAAGGGAGAATTATCTATTTGGTACCGAAACAAATCAGTGTTTTGTATTTGGCACTCGAAAATTTGAACTTTCCTATTTGGCATCAAGTTAAATTTTTCTTTCTTAAATGGTACTGCCGTCCATTTTCATTGGTCATCTGTTACTTGACTGGTTTGACCGTGTCAGTTTTTTCTCTCTATGTCCAATGTACCCCTTTGTTAACAGTCCCCAGAATCCCAGATCCCGAGACCTTCTTGGATTGAGATTCAGTGACTTTGCTCGGTAAAGTTACAACGTAATCTTCTCTCCGTCTGAGCCCTCCAAATCAGGTCCAAAGGCTGTACTTTCTCTCAGCTCTTGGGACAATCTGTCAGTCACTCGTCGCTCTTCCCTTCGGCTCTAGTAGTCTGGTGGCAGGCGGAGGAGCAGCACCACGTAAGGTTGGGGAATGGGAGTCGAGTTCCACGACGGCGCTGTGGCTGGCGCCATGTGCGAAGTTGAAGCTCGACTTTGGTTTGTTCAACTTCACGTTCGTTGATGATGGCGGGCTTGCCGTGGCGACCAGCGAGGGAGCTCTCGATGCGGGAGGCTCGCAGCGGCTGGCTGACGCCACGCTGATGCGAGATGTCGGTGGTGGTTCGCACGCTGCAGCTAGCAGTGGGTTTGCCAGCGAGGCACCGGAGGCGCCGGTAGCTGCGGCGGAATACGGCAAGACGATGCGAGATGCTCGCGGCATCACGGGTGTGGCGATCACCGGTGGAAGAGCGATCATCGACCATGCGCCCGAAGTCGTCATCGTCGCTGCGGCGCTATGCGCCAGCAGGCTAGAGACCGACCTCCTGTTCTTCCCGCGCTCAACGTCGTAATGTACCGACCAGTCCTCCGTGGTCGTCCGGGCCTCCTCCTCGCAGGTTCTGCGGCATGCGCGCGGCCGGTGTGGCGAGCTCACGCCACGCGTGTAAGCGCTGCGTGTGTGTACGGCCATCGTGTGGGCGGCGTGGGCACGGGGCATGGCGAAGGAAGCGTTATGGCATGTCGCGAAGCGCGCAAGGCCGCTGTGGAGGTTCGCAGACGGGCGAAGCGGCTACTATCGCGGACACGACGTATATGGCGGCCGTCCGCGGACATGGGACGCGCCAGCGTGCCGCCATCGCGGTGGGCGGCGTGGTGAACGCAGCGGCCGGTGTGGCGCGGTGGCGGCGGTATTGTGTGTCGTGCACGCCGGGGGGGCAAGCAACCGCCGTCGGCGTGGGCACGGCGCGCGCGGTGAGCGAGCGTCGTCTGCGCGCACGGATGCGGCGCGGCGTTCGCGGTATTGCGAAGGTCGGTATGGCAAGTGGGCGGCGGTAGCGGCGACGAAGGGTCTCTTCGAGCGAGCGGTGCCTCAACGTGGCACTTCCGGGCCCCTTCGGGAGGCGCGATGGCAGCGAGGTGCGTGGAGAACTGCGTTGTGGCAAGCTGCGATGCCGTGCTCGCTCGCTCCTACAACGTTCTCGCGTTGTTGGACATCCTTCACAAAGTGCGGAGGTGAGGCCGAGGAGGCAGCGGAGCGGTGCCTCAACGTGGCACTTCCGGGCCCTCCGGGGAGGCGCGGACGGCAGCGAGGTGCAGGAGAACTGCGGTGTGGCAAGCTGCGATGCCGTGCTTCGCTTCTGCTGCTACAACGTTCTCGTGTTGTTGGACATCCTTCATTTGGTGCGGAGGTGAGGCCGAGGAGGCGTGGTGGCGTGGACGGGAAGGAGAACCACCATTGGTACGAGCAGAGGAAGGGGATGACGAGTGGGGCCTACACGTCAGTGACTAGGATGAGGGAAGTAGTTGAGGGCAATATCGTCCATACGAAAATACTTGAATTTCCCTATTTGGCACCGTGGGTTTCTGCTGCGAACAAGGGTATTCATGTCATTTTGCCAGTCACCTGACACTGTTAGTGTCCTAAATGGACGGTAGTGCCATTTACGAAAGCAAATTTCAACTAGGTGCCAGATAAGAGTTCAAATTTTTAAGTGCCAAATACGAAACACTGATTTGTTTCAGTGCCAAATAGATAAGTCTCCCTTTAGAAAATTGTATTTCATCTGGAGAAGTTGGTTGATTATCGTGCACAACGTGCTCCTCTTGGTGGTCAATGTCGTGGTACTAGTTCTACTATTCCACTTCTATAGGTTTAGTGTCTATTGCTATTTCGATTGTTAGTGCTGCTTCGTCTTGGGGTGCTTGGTTCAGGAGCCTCCTTTCATGTGACATCTGATCACTCCTAGCAGGTCACTAATGGTGCTTTTGTTCAACCAGCTGATGGTACATCTTGCCATCACTCACGACGGTTCACTTTGCAATACTTGGTTTTCTGTACCCAATGTTTGAATTTGCTTTTGGTTGGTCAAGTTACCGACTAGATTTTTTTTTTGAAACAATGGCAGGAGCTCTGCCGCTCAATTAAGACGAAAGAGTTATGTACAAGAAGGTTAGTCAAACGACATGCCCACAGACGTCTCGAGTGGCTAACCACCCCACGCAACACGATTGCTCACGAACACAACACACTGCTATGGGTTATCGTTGCCGAGCATTGGAGCAAAGCTCCCAGCAACTCCGACTTCCGATGGCAGGCCAACCATGAGCCACCTACCGACGAGTCCGAAGCACGAGGCCGCAACTCGTTATCGTTGCCAAGCTCAAACAAGAGCAGCTCCGATCGACCCCAAAGAGAGTCCCAAACTTAAGATGAAGGGGGGCTCGCTGCGTGTCATCGTTGTCGAGCCACGTCCTCGACGCAGCAGCTCCGACTTCAAGCTGGGATATCCGCCTTCACGCATCCACTAGGCGCCGAGAAACACAACCGCCGAAGGAGACATCGAAGCCGCGGCGACGATCCAAATGCAACGCCTTCAGGAAGGGAGTGACGCCGATGACGCCACCATCACACGTCGATGGTGGACCGGGTTTTCACCATTGGATGTCAATGCTAGAGGAGAAGACATGACGCCCTCAACAGGGAAAGTGGTGCTAATCGGGCGCCGCTGCCGCCAAAGCTTCCGCACAAGGAACCCTCTAGCACGAGTGTCGGGCCAAGAAGCCGGACCCCTTGCTCGCCAATACGCGCCTCGCCGTTGTCCTATCGCCCATAGAAGCCCCTTCAGAGGGGCATCGACGCTACTGGTCGCCGCAGCGAATTGCATACCTTCGCCGGTGGCCACCCCCTCGACGGGGCAGCCTGGTAGAGCCGGACCATACTCCTCCACGTGTGCAACACTGCCGCACGTCTAGGCCATTGCCAACCGTCGCCGCCGGCTCTAGCACCCGCCTCCGTCGTCGCCAGCAGCCACGAAGCGCATGCCCCACCAATGCGGCACCACTGCCGTGGGGTGGTGCGATCCGGTTCCAGTTCAACCCGGCGCCTAAGCCGACACCCGCCTCCGTCATGAACGGCCGGCCACTGCCGACCACCGCTAGGTCGCAAGCGAATCCGCCCCGTTGCGTTCGGCCACCGCCACAGCAGCCCCAGCCGGCAGCGGACAACCGCTTGCCGTGAGTGAAGGGGGCGGGTGGAGGAGAAGAGAGGAGACCTTGTAGTTGACCCCAGAAGTTGCCACGAGCGAAGCCGCGCGCCGCCATCGCCATCGCCACCACGCCTCTGGCTAGGGCGAGCCGGATCGAGCCGCCGGGGCTTCGGATCCAGCTGCTCGGGTGCCGAACCGGCGGCCTCGGCCGGTGGTGTCGCCGTCGTCAGACAGAGGAGAAGGCCCACCTGCCAGCAGCCTTCACGCGCCCGGCTGCGGCGCTGTCCCAGGCCGCCGAGCACCGCCCCCGCATAGGGTGCTCGCGACCCTCCTAGGTGAGAGCCTTGCCACCGCCATCCTAGGGGGGGGCGTGCGGGCCTCCCGGTCGCACCCTTCGGCGGCCGTGTGGGTAGGCATGCGGTGGTTGGGGGCGGCGGTGGCGGCTAGGGCTGTTTTCCGCCTGAGTGGGTGGGCGACACGGGTGTCCCAGTTACCGACCTTAATTGCTTTGTGCTTTGTTGGATTTGATGAGTCATCTTGTTTTATTCAGGGCCGTCAAAGCGGGAAAGTGATTGGGACTGGCCATCCGGGTATAGGTGCTTCCCGCCTATACATTTTGGACACCTTGTCGTCTTCCTTCTTCCACTGCGCCTACAGCTCAAGTGCTTTATCGTCTTGGTCATTTTTGTGGGTCTCATTTATTCTCATTGAGAAATAAAGGTTGCTAGCTCATAGCTTTATTGAGTCTAGCTTCCATTGTAATGGTTGCAGACTTGGAAAAACGATACAACTTTCATATCCTTCTAGTGTTTATCATTCTGCTAGGACCTTTTGATCTTATTGATTCATGTATGGAGTCAGTGCATCTTTCGGTACAAAGGGTGGACACAAATATTATGTCATTTTTATTGATGATCATTCTCATTATACATGGATTTATTTCATGCACATTGTTTGAGGTTGTTTTTCATTTACTGAACTTTTATTAAAATTGTTCATACACGATTTTCTACTTTTGAGTTTTTCATTCTTGACTCTGGGAATGAATTTATTTTATGCTTTTTCGCAAGTTGGTACTCTTGTTCAACTCTCGTCCTGCCATTTATGCTCAGAATGGTGTGTGTTGCTGAATGAAAATATCACCATCTTATAGAGACAGCCTGCACACTTTTGATTTTGTCTTTTGTCCCTTCTCATTTTTGGGGTGAAGCTGTTTCAATTGTTATCTCATCAACAGGCAAACCCTCATCCAATCTGTTTGGCCAATGTCCTAGTGAAGTCCTTTTTGGTACCCCTCTCGGTTGACCAAACAGTTTGTTGAGTGTGTTTCGGGAGGAAATTCCTGCCACTGGAAGTTTACTTTGGCATTGGAGTTGACTCCCATTTTAGAAGCAATATTATACTGTCATTTGAAGCAAAAACTTCAAAGGAGTTTTAGAGATATTTTGTTATCTTCATTTTGTCCTGTTCTTTCTTAGATTTGTCTTCTCACCAATTGACATCATGGAATTGTTTTGCTCCTTGATCCTTTTGCTTTTGCCTAACTTGTTTCCATTCCACTTCCTCTCTTGTTGAAGTGTCCATCAGTCTTCAACTTCCTGCTTTCCTCCTCTTCTATTAATATCAATCACTGAAACCTTTTCTTGTTCCAATCCTATACTTCCCTTTAAACGGCTGGACTGATTTGTTTTGTCTTCTGTTGGTCCAAATCTTAGAGGTGCCAGCTCTCTCTACTATCCTTCTTCCTGACTGGATCCATGGTTGTTGGGTCCCTTTTGTTGGACTAAGAGACCGCTCTTCCACTTGAGATTTCCTTATGGTTAAAAAACTTGAGATTTCCTTAGCTTCACCTTCCAGGATTGTTGTCAGTTCCTTTGTTTTGATGGAGTCCTGTTGTAATGACCCGAGTTTGTTATAACATAGGCAGTCGTTTTTGGTCACCCGAGTGAGCAATCTTTCGAGATCCGGTACAGATTCCTGATACCTTGAGCTAGATCAATCGTCGAGAATCGACCAAAAGGGAACCGACCCACGCCGCTCCCTTGTCGATCCTCGATCCCCACGCCCGCCACCTAGGGCGCCGATCACCACCCCCCACGGCTCTGGGCGAAACGAAATTTGCTTGAATTGCCGTAAAAATAATTCACCATGGACCATTACAAGTCCTGCTCGATGAAGGGCCTATACCTGATGGTTGGTTGGCGAAGCCCCTATCGATGGTGCCGTTGAGGACTTGGCTTCTGACAACAACGTCGATATCTCCCTCCATGCCCTCATTGGGACACAGACAGTCGACACTATGCACCTCGCCTTTGTCACGCCGGTGCACCGTGGATTCCTATCCATCCACTCCATCTCCACGTACA